GAGAGAATAAGAATATACACATCTCTAGCATTTCTAGAATAGAGTAATTTATGAAAGTTGTGCGTTTGCTCGTTTCGTTTGTATCGTATGGCTCATGCCAAAAAGAAAGAAGGAATAGCCTTAACATACCTGGAATTGGGGAAAATCCGTATGATATTCTTGGAAAAAGTTGCACCGTATTCCTTTAAAATTGTAAAATCTCACGTTGCTATGGTGCTAAGAAATCTCGTTGGAATTGTTTTGTTTTAAGATTAATATCCGTTCTCTGTTGGAATGAAATCTTCCGTTCTTGAAATTGTTTGGATTTAGGAAGAAGTCTTATAACCAATGAAGACCACAAATCAACCTTTAAAGTCTCGGTAGCTTGTAGGTAAGTGTCATTTGCATGACATTTAAATGCCACCTTTCAATTTGTGATATGAGTCATTCCAATTTGCATGGGGGCTGCCACCTCATGCCCTTTATCTCTATCCAATAATATTCCTTAATTAATTGGGTAATATTTTATTATTCAATAATTAACTCTATCTTATTTATAATACAACGATGCCTACATCCAGAAAGACGGTTGGTAAGAGATATAGCGGTGGAAGTGTTAATAAAGATTATCATTATTTACCATTCAGGAAGGGAGATATGAGCATTTTGAGTTACCTTCAACAGTGACAGATGTAGGTACAATCAGCCACACCGATCTCAGTTATGCCCTATGAGAGCTAACAGACATAGTTTAAGAGAAGGACGAGTTATCAGGATCCGGCTGGGATAGAGTAACCCAAAATAGTGGATGGATTGGTAGAGTTAGTTGACATTTCCGAAGGATAGTGCAAACGTGGTAATAGATCTCCTTGTGAGACACCTCGATGGTGCACCCTAAAATAGTACAGCTAGATATGAGTACTACAAAGATAAGCACTGGAAACCTGGAAGGGATAAATATTACCTTAGTGTGGTTCCCATCCCTGGTAGAAAGAGAATGTTAGGCAATTTGAGGAGCCAATGGATGGAGCAAGAGGAGGTTTAAAAGCAAAAGAATGTTTTGTTCGAATTTTTAGAATAAAGTGATAGACAGAAATGTTAGCAGGAAAATAAGAAGAGAGTTAATGAAGCAGTATGAGTAAAATGTGGTACTTGGATGACAACGGTAGATCAAAAAATGATAGTATTACAGAGTCTATAGTCAAGTGAAGGAAAAAAGGAGAGGTGACAGGCCTTGAGTCAATAAAAGAGTATAGGCCATAAAGTCATATCCTCACTTCAAAAAATAAGTTCGTGACTCCAATGCAACTACCGGGTGCCCGTCGCGGCCCATCGGTTTGGATCGTGACACGGACCCACGCCTCGAAACCCGACCAAACCTACAAAATCCGATAACACATTCAATTACGAGTCCAACCATACTAGTTTCACTCAATTCCGACTCCAAATCGATGTTCAAAACTCAAAAATTCATATTATGAAACTTTAGGCCAAAACCTCCAATTTCCTCTTTAAAATTCATCAACCAAAAGCTAAAATCGAAGATAGATTCATGAAATATAACCAAAACCGAGTAAAGAACACTTACCCCAATTCATATGGTGAAAATCGCCTAAAAATTGCTCAATTCCGAGCTCCCCAACTCAAAATATGTTAAATAAATAAAACCCTCGTTTTAACACTATTCTGCCTCATTTCTTGTGCCAAATAAACTCGAAACTCGCTTTTGATGCCTTCAATTGATTCCTTGTAAAATTCTAGTCAAGTTAGGCTCTTGAATCACTCCATTTGACCTTATATTGAAGGAGATATGTTGATTTTAATATTTGGAAATAGTGCAGATTTTTAAAATACGAAGTCAGTGGCAATTTCGTAATTAATCTGAAAAATCTGGCAACCCAATTCTTAGTAACATGACCATAAACTCCTTATATGATGTCCAAATTCGATGATTCTTTTTGATATGGCTCCGTAATTACGATACGGATCTAATGATTCAATAAAAACATAAGTTGGAGCTCATTTTCTTAATGTAGTACCCTTTATGCTTGAAGAAACAACGTCGAAACATAAAAAATGAGTGCAACGCAACCCAAACCTATCCGAAACTCACCCGAGCCCCTCAAGACCACGTCCAAATGTACCAACAAGTCCCATAACATAACACGGACTTACTCGAGGCCTCAAAAGACACATGACAACATCGAAACGACGAATCACACCTCAATCCAAAAAATTAATGAACTTGAAAGTTCAAACTTCCACAACCGATGCCGAAACCCATCAAATCACATCCGACTGACCTCAAATTTTGCACACAAGTCACATTTGACATTAGGGCCTGCTCCAACTTCCGAAATTAAAATTCGACCCCGATATCAAAAAGTCCACTCTCTATCAAACTTTCCAAAAAATCCAACTTTCGCCATTTCGAGCCAAATTCAACTACGGACCTCCAAATCACAATCTGGATACGCTCCTAAGTCCAAAGTCATCCAACAAAGCTAACAGAATCATCAAAATTCTAATCCGAGGTAAAATACTAAAAAGTCAAACTCGGTCAACTCTTTCAAATTTAAAGCTCCCTAGTTGAGAATCATTCTTCCAAATCAGTCCCGAATAACCTGAAAACCAAAACTGACGATTTACATAAGTCAAATATATCATATGGAGCTACTCACGCCCGTAAACTACCGAGCGAAGTACAAATGCCCAAAGCGACCAGTCGGGTCGTTACAGAACAAAATACAATACTGTCTTGAAGACTGAACAATAAGAACATAAGTTAAAAGAGAGGACTTTAAGGCACGCGAACGAAATAGTAGTGCTACCTAGAATCCCTCAAGCAAATCCGTATACAACTCACTGGCAACCATCACTATCAGCAATACCCCGATGTGCACATGAAGTGCAGAGTGTAATATAAGTACAACCGACCCCATATACTCAATAAGTAGCAAGCCTAACCTCGGGCTGAAAGCAGTGACGAGCTTCGCAATGTCCGATACTCACTTTACACAACCAACAATATCAATAACAGTAGAATAATAACATATAAAGAAAAGCAGCTCAAATAATAACAGGCTCAACTTTATACAGCAGGAGGAGAATTAGACATGCTTTCAGATATAACAATCAGGGCATTAACTTCCACAGAATTCACTTAGACAGGTATTTAACAAGATAAAAACTGTAATATCAAGATCTAAACATTAAGTAGAGACATCAAATACCAATTAGCATGAGAAATAATACAACTCTATGACTGCATGCCAGTTATATATGCCAAATTAATGAAGAATCACAATTTAAATATCAAATATACACAATCTCATCACATTAAAAGTTCCTAGCACACAATGCCCCTCAATCATAGTCTCAGCACTCTCATGGTGCCTGGCAAGATACCTATGGATCCTCACGCCCACACATATACACACTCTCAACATTGTACGGGTGTCTGACATAAGTCCCTCTCCAAGCATATAACGTATGCCTGCACTCACAGAGCCCAAAGTTGCACGGGTTATCACCTGACTTCGGAGGGGCGGATCCTAGCCCAACCGCTGATCGGATCAAAAGTCAACGATCATCATGACACAATCCAAATGTCCTGGCGCACGCGTCACCTCACTATCAATACCACTCAGCCCAATATGGGCCCTGGCGTATATGTCACCTCAATATCAATATCAATACGGCTCTATGGCCCAGCTCAATCATCAATCCGCTCAGATCTTAATATGACAACATCTCACAATATAATAATCAATATACAGCACGATTTACGCCAATGTGCCACAAATCCACTCAAAACTATGTTACACAAGTAAGAACGCTAACAACATGTATGAAGTATGCAAAGATAGTAATATAACACAAGAATATAATATCATGACTGAAAAGTATGATCACGACTAAGATAAATAGCTCAACATAGCAAAAATAAATTTATCATGCCTCAACAAATAAGCAAATAGCCTAGACATAAATTCTAATAGCACATGTAGTCATACAAATGAAGAGAATACGATATTAAATAAGCATGATAGCAAAATAAGACATTTTTAATAGCATGACTTAATAACTAATTGTTGGTAAGTATTTTCTATTTGTGACTATTCCTGTAGTTTTCTCTAATGGATGATTATTTGTTACTAATGGACCATATCAAATATTTTTTATTTGGGTGATTAGATTTACATCAACAAAATTATAAACTATATTAAACTTTTAGCTTTCACTAAAGCGTATTCATATATGATCTTTGCAGATATAAAAATAGAATAAAAATATAGAATATTTTAATTATTAGTCGAGTTGTGTAAGCGAAATCAAATTTCCTATTTTGGAACGAAAATGATGTTTATTTTGAGTCAAATGTGGCATGCCATTAAGAATTTATCATTCTAATCGATTCATACTAATTGGGTCGAAAAAATTTTGAAACATAAAAGATTATTTACTTTTAAAATTTTCCATCTTAAAATGAAAATAATATTTATTCTGAGTTAAAATGTGGCATGCTATTAAGTATTTATCTTTTTCTATCGATTCATGTAGATTTGTTCGAAATAACTTTAGGCCAGATGGGAATGAATAAAAATATAAACAACTTACTTCAACAAGAATAGTAATAATTTAAAATCTTTATCCCTTGCTCTAATGGATTAAAGAAATTGAATTTGCAGTTCATAAAATTTGAAAAGAAATCAATAAATACTGATATTATGTTAGTTCAATTTGTGTGTGTGTGTATAATAAAATTAAATTAATAATGAATTTAGTTTATTTTTAGGAGAAAATGGACCAAACCACAAAAACCCACCTATAAATATTCTCCAAACTCTTACAAATAACTTTTTTGCCTAAAAAAAAGTATTAATGGACATACCATAAGTTAAAAAGATGAAGTATACTGTATACATAAAATAAAAAATAAAAAAGTAGAATATTTTTAAAGGACAAAAGAAAAAAAAGAATTTATATTTTCTCCCTTATCTTTTCTTTTCTTTTTCCACGTAATTTTCTCCTCCCTTTTCTTCTTTTCCGTCTCTCTCCGTGTCCCTCCCCCTTCTTCTGAACATTTCGCCGACCAGTCCCTTCTTTGTCGATACATACACACACTTCACTATTCATATATAAACAAACACTTGACATATTCACATACTTCTCTTTTCCTAAAAACTACTTTTAATTCCGTTGATCTCTCTCTCTCTCTGGATCCTTCTCCAACACCGTCACACTCTGGTATGCCAACTTTCTTCTGTCTTCTTTAACACGTTTTATGTACGTCCCCATCACGGATCAGCTGCCGATAATTTTGTTTCATTTCAATCTCTGTACTTTTACTTTGATCTGATTTATATGTATTTTTAGTTGTTTTGTCTCTCTTTTTTCGTTGTTCTTTGTTTTAATTGGCATTGGAGTCACATGAATTAAATTCTTGGTTCTTGAGCTCTTCTTGATAACATAGCACTTGCAGTGCATTTACTACTCCCTCATCCCAAATGATTTGGGTTATTTGACTGTAGACACAGTTTTAAAAATAATGGAAAACTTTAAACAGAATACTCTAAGTAGTCTTAGTACCAGAATACAAATTTTTATAATTTTAATCTGTGTCTACCGGACCCTTCTAAGTGTAAAATGAGAATGTAAAGATTATATAGTTTCTAAATAAGGAAACGGTCTTCATGCCGATTCTTTTGGGATGGATGAAAAAAGAGGAGTGCTACTAAATTGCAGTGGAATTGGCTTGCGGATTTTTTTTTTTGGGAGGGGGGGGGGGGGGGATGATTCATTGGTCTAGGCACTTTTCCATGGTTACTGTGTTGTTGATGGCGTCCTGTAACTTTTCTGTATCTTTTCATACCAAATATGCTGCCATTGTTTTCTGTTTATGTAAAGTAGATTGGATTTCACAACAGCATGGGTTTATCTTTACAAAGGCATTTAATATTTTGGAGAATTAGGTGTCCATGTTGCATGGCCATGTGATTTGATTTAGTGCTTGGTAGTTTTGTGGCATTTAGCTAAGAATTCGATATCAGCCAGACTTTTAGTATATATGGATGCATAAAGTGTAATAGTCATGGACCAGGTGGCACCGCATTATTATCCTATGATGATATCTTTTAGTGCACCGTAAGAAGGAACATCTCTTCTTGTTGTATAATAATTGCAGATAAGCCTATAAGGCTATAAGCAAACTCTGTGATACCAGCACAGTAGAAAAGTTTTGGTCCTGTGTGCTGCTTTGCCAACCATTTCTTTGTTTTCTTGTTTATTGATAATGTAATGAAGATTCTGTTTTCCTTAACTTTCTAGTGAAATCCAGTTAAAACTAGTCTTGGAGCATGTGTTCGAGTTTCTACCAACTTATGAGTTATTATTGAGATGTGATAACATATCATAATTGATAAAGAATGCTCCCAATTCAAATGGATGATCTTTTGGAATATAGTAAACATGTGGATAACATTAATTTGTTTTGGCTCTTTCCTGTTGTATCTACGAGGGAAATCTAGACTCGAGAACAACAATTAGAGCTGGCACATCAGGTATTTAGTGGGAATCTGACCTACAATGGCTGTTGCAAATGATAACGATTTCATCATCATCATCTTCTGATCTGTCTTTTGGGAGCATATGGAAACTTGAATTGAAATAGATAGGATAGGTCTCAATGCTTCAGTACACCTTTGAGTTTTCAATGGGATTTAGTTGAGATTAGACTCAATATACCTCCTCGACTTGTCAGAGATTTAATTTAGGATATTTAGGGACGCTATTAGGAAAAACTCTCTTCTACAGAAACTCTACCTTTTGTAACAGTTGCTAATTCTACAGAGTTTGCCTCTTTCTTTCCACATCTCCTTCCAGTCACCTTTAATACATATACAAATCTAGGTTCTCTGAATTTCAAGTTCATTGAAGGTTCGGTGTAAACTTTACTGTCAAAGCAACAAACATTCTAATGTCGAGATGTTCAAAAGGCATGACTAGTTGTACTCACGAATTGTCATTTTAGTTGCCTTTTCGCAGGTTCTCAAGTATAGACTATTGCTTCAGACAAACTATACGTATACTACGTAGGATTGAATCTCTGAGTAGCTTTTCTTGCTCTGTATATTGACAAACTCTTTGCTTTTGAGAAGTCATTTCCCACGTGATGAAGAAGAAAGAGAAGTACAATTTGATCAAATTACTTCTAGATTAAAATGCGAAATGAATGAATCAACTTTAAATATTTGAACATCAACAAGCTAGCCAGGAAAGCAAGCCTACTACCAGGGGCGGTTTGCACTGCCATGTGGATTTTGGGTTTGTTTAGTGTAGCTGTAGCCTATTAAGGCAATCCAGAGAACCTCCAAGAAATTATGCATCTTTGAGTCAGAGGTGGCTTGGGGAAGTTAACCTTTTCACTTTCTGGAAATGACGATGACATTGCTTAGGGGACCTTTACCTCCAGAATAGCAAATTGGTAGAGCATTTGCTCTCGTAGATTAATCCCTGGCACCTACTTAAAATATATTTATGCAACTGAGATCTTCAAGTTTCACCTAGAAAATCCACAAATGAATAGTAGTAAAATATCTAAGATGGGCTTCAACAAATAGTTGCATGTCTCTAAATTTAGAATATAATAAGCAGTTTGGGCTCAGGACAACTTGATATTGCAGAAATGCCTAGTCATTTGACATTCAAATTTTTTCTGCTGCAAATTATGTTATTTGGTTTAATTATCAACATCTATTGATACCTGTGCTATGTGATTTTATGATTCTGCCTGGCAGTAGGCCAAAGTTATGAGTTGTTTAAATCATTTCTGTTTTTTTTAAATATTTTGAGAAGGATTTTTTGTCCTCCCTTTTTTCTTTTTGCCTGCCTTAGGATTTTTCGTATTTTGTACACACCACCACAACGTAAGTGTGCATGCAGACATATACCTAACTCATGCTGAAGAATATGTTATTTTTTTAATTTGTATATGCCAAACTTATCAAAAAACATTGTAAATGTCAAATTTAGTTTCTGAAGTTCCCTTTTATGATCTATTAGTTGTGGATAGATGCCAGTTGCAAAACTCCGCATAGGTGGTACTTCAGATGCAATGAAAGCAGATGAGGTGAACGATTCACTTGATACTTTCATTAGACAAGCTATGGGAAAGGAACCTCTGCTTTCTTTCCCAAGAACGGGGGAAGGTCCTGTTCAATGGATTCAATGGCTTAATTCTTTAGATCAGCCAGGTACCGAACTTAAAACCTGGTGTTCATAGCATACAACATTTCCTCTCTTTTTTTTTTTTTTTTGTTGGTTAACCATCTGGTATCAAAGCACACTGGCCCGACTAATCCGGATTCTAGCTGCATAGGGAAGAGCTCCCTACTAGAAGTTTTTCCATTCCTAGGGCTCGAACCCGAGCCTTTGGTAAAGGGTGGAGGGAAAGGGATCCCATCCATTCCACCATGCTCCTTGGTGGTATAGTATAACACATTTCACTAGGTTCTCATGCATGTTAAATTAGTGGATCAAGGAATTTACCGATATTTCAACAGATGTGGATCCCTCAAGCTGGAATAGAATGTGAGTTTAGTCATCCAAAATGCTTTAAGCGACAGTGTTCGATGCATTAGCTGCAGATGCCAATAAGTAGTCTGAAAAGGACTATCTGAAGCTCCAGACTGTAACAGGTCATATACAGGACTATGGCTTAAGTCATGAATATTGATAAGCTTCTGTTACTTTTTTTTTGCAGATATTACTGGATGGCCTTTTTTGACACCTTCAAGAGTTCAGATGCAGAAGTGTGAGAAATGTTCCAGGGAATTTTTTTCACCTATTAATCACAGAAGACATATACTTGTGCACCGCAGATCCTTAAATCTTGATAAGGTATATCTCAGACTTAGAGGCCTTTTTCTTTGATGTGTTTTAATGCTGGAAAAGATTTGGAGGTTTACCATTTGTGTACATGTAGTTATTGTAAAGGCTCGCATAAATTCTAAGCTAGGTGCAGCACATAATGGGTGCTTCTTAAGCAGTGCTTCAGTGTAGGCACTAAGGCGTTAGCACCCATGGTTCTCTCTTGATGAGAGCAACACTAACCATTAAATATAGTTTGTAAAAAAAATGAGATATTAATTGTTAAGGAGACATTGTGAGCAATATGCTATTAGAATATGAATTTTAATCAATGTTAGCGAGACACTTCAGAAAAAAATCTTTCTACACTACTCAGAAATTCAAAATGACTTGTAAACTCAATTAATATATTTTTTGATTCATATAATTTACGTGCAGTTCTTTCAATCTTTAGACACCATGTAATTGTTATCTGTGCTTATAGTTATTGTTTCTTGCAGTACATATATATATTTTATATTTTTTTCTTCGTTTGCGCTCTTCTTCATTAAGGGGCACACTTAAATAGTTAAAATAGGGCTTTGCGCTCAGAGCCCCAGCAGAAATTGGTGTTTTTTAAACTCATTTCACCTTTGAAAACACTGGCATATCTACTGTCTTTTGCAGTATCATTTCCATTGTGGTGAATGTTCTTGTTTTTTGATTAGGTAACTAAATCTTGATATCATATATACTTGTCAATATAGGGTGCGTTGGGTGTGCATGTGTTGAATCTTATGTTTTATTTACATTTTGTAGGAGTCGCACAAATACAGGGATTTGTTGGCAGCGTTCTGGGACAAGGTAATTTTCTCTTCCTCACTCCCTAATTCTTTGTGTGCCTTGTTCCATAATGGTTATTTATGTTGTCTGTATCACTGCTGCATACAGCTCTCAGTGGATGAGGTTAAGGAAGTTGTATCATTGCAAGATATTTCATTAAAGGTAATTGCCTGATTCCATGTTCTACTGTCTTATGTATGTTTTTTCTTGACTTGGAACTTAAAGTGAGCTTTTCTTAAATGGAAAAAATATATGAAATGGAACTGAAAGTGAGTTCTTCCCCTTGCAATTTTGACACAGAAATGTGATGATAATTTGGAATTGACTGAAGGTAGAATAAATGCCCCTATGGACACTAATAGAATAATATTCTAGGCTATTCGTGGTGCGCAGCAAGACAAATCCTCCTCTTCCATTCTGGTAGATAATGTGAACTTGAGAAGACCAGATAGAACACCTACATGTGTTCCTCCCTTTGGCTACGAGAAATTACTGCTTATTTCCCCTGGGTTTGCATAAACTGGACGTAGTCTCTGTCTCCATTTATTCAGCGATAATTGAGCATTTCCAATTTAAGCTCATTGTATTAGCTTAGTTTTGATTAGAACAAACCATATTGTTTATACAAATGGTAGTTATGCTAGAAATCTTTTCTTTTCAAAACTGTTTATGACTAGCGGAGTTCTTTTGGGCTACTGATAAAAACTTGTCTGAACATTTCTCCCCTCCCACACTTTATAGAGTGTTAGATTGTAATTGCCATATTTCTTTTAGGAAATTGCTGGATCTTCACTTGTTCATGCCTTGGCAACAGCTTTGGGCAAACCTGGGTTTTGGACTCTTCCTCGTGGTTATGTAAGGGCTGGTTCTAAGTTGTTGGTTAGTTCTCTATTTCCATTTTCTATTGAGTATTATTGAACCAACAACAAAAGAAAAGTGACATAAGAGCCAATGACACTAAATAGGATCAATTTGCAGGAAGTCATCCAAGCTAAACCTTTCAGGCCTCCAGTGACTTCCCAGGAGTTATTTAGTATCCTTGAAGATGCTACTGAGAGAACATTCTTATGTGCTGGCACGGCTGACTCGGTGCAAAAATATGTTTTCGATGGGGAAGCTTCCAAAATTGGTTTTGACGCGAAGAATCTGGTTGCTTGCACCAGCTTCCTTTTTGAACAGAAACTGGTAGAATCTCTTTATTTTTCCGGAGAACTTTCCGGCTTTATGTGTTGAACCTATACTTTTTTCACATCTATATACGTAATGGTGCCATCTGTATTTGCATGAAACTGTTAGATTCAGTTCCTATTTTTATTCTTGGAAGTGTGGTTAGAAGAATACACTCTTTTGGTTATGCTTTACCTGATTCTGTCCAGCGAACCAACATCCATAGTAAATGGTATTCATTTATGCTCAGGTAAAAGCATGGGTTGCTGAAAAAGATGCTGAAGCTTTGAGATGCCAAAAGTTGCTTTTTGAGGAGGAAGAAGCTGCTCAAAAAAAGTGAGACACTTTTTACCATATCAACTCATCTTCCCTGATTTTTTTCCTTTTTCATGTATTCTACTGAGGTTATGGTGTATCATGATTGCTCCTATGTTCTGAGTGACAAGTTACTACATGATAAAGTCATATTTCTTATCTTTTTTGGATAAATAATAAATTTCATTAAAACAAAGGGCAAAAGTTCCCCGTATACAAGAAGTACACAAAAGATGGAAAACCTTACAAAAAGACATGGTTTTCTACGATTGCTGCCCAATCATCTATACATAAGGGAATTTTGTGGGTGCACCAAAAAACAATAAGCGAAAAGAGGCTATTCCTAAAAAATACAAGATCTTTCTCTACTCCATCAAAAGCTCTCCTATTCCTCTCTCTCCATACGGTCATATTTCTTAATTCTTATTATTGTTTAGAGTAATCTGTTAATGCTAATAACGTAACTATTTCTGGAATAAAAACATTTATGTGCTCTGAAGATGTGCTCCTGCAGTTTATAACCTTATTTTTTGAAGCAGATTTCTCAACAAGTAGAAGACAGTTTCGTATTTTTATATGTTTGTCAATTTCTAAACTTACGGATATGGAGGCAAAGAGCGCCATTGTTACAGTGCTGTGGAGCTTGGAGATTTTGATATTTGCATTTAAAGACATGGCAAATAACTCATCCGTTTCACCTGGAAGTGACTTACTTTATTATTTGTTGGGAAGTAGATTTAAGACAGGGCAGCGATAGCTGTTGTAAGCATTCACCCCTAAGGGGATGGAGCAACTTTGACATTGGGAGCAAGTTCCATTCTACTTCAAATAAAAAGATTACTTACCACGTCAGCTTGACAGTTTTTAAAACTCTTGGCACTTTTTATTTGAATGAATCTTGGTTTGTCGCTTCTTTGAGGGTATAGCTATTGAATTCCTTTCAATTATTTCTCATGTGATATGCTAGGCAAGCTGAGCTATTGGAAAGGAAAAAGGTGAAAAAGCTTCGACAGAAGGAACTGAAAGCAAAGGAGCAATCAATTGAGGAGAAAGGAATTCTGGAGGCACCAGCTGATTGTTTTGAGGTTCCATTGGCAGATGTCTCTAGCCTTCCACGGCCATCTGATTCCTATTCTAATATTCCTGACGTATCTCTGGACGTCTCCGCCTCTCTTGAAATGGTTCAGTTCTCCAGCAATGTAGATACGAGCGTCGAATCCCAATTTGATCTTTGTCACCAACACCTGGATTCAGTTAAAGCTCATAATCTTGAACCCCGACCAGTGTCTGCCAATAGTCGACGGCGTTTTGCCAATTCCCAGTTGCAAGCACCAAAATCGCAAAGGTCTGGGCGAAATGGTGGTTTCCATAACAATCAAAATCATCAAGCATTGAAAGCTGAACCTATACAGAAGCACAAGGACAGTAGTACCCCTGTTAATAGCAGTATGATATGGACAAGAAAAGTTAGAGTTGAAAGTGATGATACTTCAATACCGGAGGTGCAGAAAGAGGACATAGATCAGAAGCAGAGCAAATCTGAAGTGATAATTGGTTCTATATCTGTTCCCGTGAAAGATTGCAGCACTCAGCAGCAGGGAAGAGATGATTTTGGAAGCACAGAGCTTCGTAAAAAATGCAATGTTGTAGAGAAGCCAGCTAAGCATGATGCTCTTCAGATTGGGTCAAATAGAGCAGCTGCCAAGCTTTGGAGGCCTGTGAGGCATACAGTTGGAAGACAAGATCGTGAAGAAGAGGGTGTCATGTCTTCAAAGTTTGATGATCGAACATCATTAAATGAAAATTGTTTACCGTTATGTCCCGTGGACAGCTCTGGCAGTCATAAGAATTGTCAGGTTCCAGATGGAAATGCACATCAAGGTTTGGGATTTTCAAGTATCGCTGCAAAAGCTTTTCTTGCTCAGAGTATGTTTTACTAGCTCTCACGTTTCTATATATTATTATTACATGCATGCACAAACACAGCCATGCATATCTGCTCCAAGTATTGTCTGCTTTTTCTTCATTCTGATTGATCTGAAAATCTATGTAGGATGGAGGGAGGCCATTGCTGGAGATCATGTCAGATTAGTGCTTTCTCCTGACACTGAGTCTTCAGGGCGCCCGGAGGTGCCAAGTAGCAGTTCAGAAGCAACCCCAGCATCAGATTCTGGGGAACATGGGGTTGTTTCCAGAGCTGACACTGAGCTGGCAAAAAATGAAGTTCTTACTTCATCTTCAAGTGGAAACATTAAGGTCAAGTATAGGCCAAAGCCCGAAAAGGGTGTTAAGACAATGTACATTCCCAAGCAAAAAAAAACATCATTTAGGATAAAAGGCAACATTGTTACTCATACCTGAATATGCAGTTTCTAGCCAGTGCAGCAGAGGTTCCTTTTTACCAGCGGTCTTCTGTGAGAGAGTTAAAGATAGGGTTTCTAGTGAAAAATAGCTTGTAGTCCCATCCTCTAGTTTGAGTCGTTAAGCATTTTTGACTCGGGCTTTTGCGCCTAACAATTTTGCCGTAACAAGTATTTCCGCTCACCAGATCTCCCAGACAATGTATGAATACAAATCAATTTATAAAATTATCCCAAAGATTAGAGAGCAGCCATTTTTGTCTTTTCTTTTTCTTATTGATATTAGATTTGGGCAACCCTCGCCCCTCCTTTCCATTGATGTGCTCGACTAAATTTACCTCTCCCTAAGTAATGGTTTTTGTTTGTTATGGCGCGAACTCAAAATGCAGCAATGGCCAATTATGAGAACATTGATGATGGTAAAATGAGAAAATGAAGGTTAAATACAATCTGACTACAATGCAAAAATGAGTTAGCTGCCGTGTTTTAACTGCCTAGAAAGCAACTGTCAAGCTATGGATAACAACATTGCTAAATTACCAGCTCGATGATGCTATAGCTACTACATTGTTGCCTATTTTGAACAATGTAGTTAAGGGAGTGATTTTATGGCGTGCCTCACATAAGTGACATTAAGTGAACTTTTTCTCGTCTTACTAAGGACCCGTTTGGCCATTGATTTTGCCAAATTTTTTTTGGCAAATACATGTTTGTTCATAAATTTTATCTATATTTTGGCAAATTCCCAAAACCCAAAACCCAAATCGCAAAACCAACTTTTGGCCCAAGATATTACTATTATATTTTTTTAAAATTGCCCCAAACTTTTGTATTTTATAAAAGAGCCCACCATTTATTATTTTGTAACAATGCTGCTTCGTCTTCTCGGTCATCTGATAGTATATTATGTAGTTCATTATAAAAATGATAATTTTGTACCAAATTTATTTATGTTCAAGACTATGGTTTGTAATAATGATAATGAATATTATTGATGAAGGTACTGTTGGGTGTGATAATTTTTAGAACTTGGGGGTATAAGTCATGTTTCATGTTTTTTCAAAAATAAAGTGAAATATGTTTTGAAACTGACGTCCAAACATATTTTCATCTTCAAACTAAACTTCATCCAAATCAGATTTTTCAAAACAAATTTGGAAATCTATGCCAAATGCTAACTATGCATTGGTTGTCAGTAATTGTGGTGGTTGGTACACTTTGTCTTAAGTTGAGCTGTGTGACTGACTACTGATCTTGAAATCACTATTATCAAACTAAGAAAAAACAAGCGTGGGAGGGGAAAACATGTGAAGAAGAGGACATCAAATGCAATTAAGGCAGCTTCAAAAAATTTGATTGTTAAAGTACCCAATGTGTGTTGAACCTTTTTTATTATTACGTAGTACTATTTATGATGTAAATTGAGGTAAAACTTTGATAGCTTGAATTATAGAATACGAGTATTATTTTTCTATAACAAAGAGATGAAAGTAGATATTCTATAGAGACGTATATATGAGTCATGTTTTAAAATAAATTAACGTCATTACTAAAACCAATTAATACAAATTTGTTTGAAGTTATCTGTTCCATATATATGCGTTGGCGCTTGTTCACTAAGAAACAAAAATAGATCAAAATAATGTAAATAGCTTGATTTTGAATATATATATACTACGACTTGTAATTATTATCAGGAAAAAAAGAAAGAAGTGATTAATTACGTTATGCGTGGAAAAGAAAAGGCGAGGTAATTAATAACTGTCACCACTAGTTTTCCAAATGAGAAGCCTCTTTAGTAGATTTGACTAAAAGACAGATCCGAAAGAGATGATTATGGAAATCGCAAACATCCCAGCTAGCGTATTACTATCTGAAAGTGAATTTTGTAAATGTTGCAGATCGATATGGTGTTTTGGTGCTTCAATTTACTAGGTTTCTTGTTTCTGCCCAACCCCTTCAACATATACTACTCTCCTTAAAACTCAAAGATAATGTCCAAAGTTTTTCAGTCTTAGTTCGACAGTTTCATAATCGCTGTTTTGAACCTCGGATCATGCATTTCACAGGTACGTGTCTTTTCTGAATATGATTTGGTTTCCCATGGTACATGTGTTGACTGTGCATCACGGACCCAGAATTTTCACTAAACAACAATAACATATATATCCGGTGTAAGTAGGTGGAATGTCTGAGTATATACATACCTTACCCTTACCTTATTTGAGGTAGAGAGGTTATTTCCTTTAAACTCTCGGCTCAAGAAAATTTTTTTTCAAAATATGTGAATAAATTAAAGAAGCTATGGTAAAAATATTAAAGAAAAGAAAAGTATTGACAGCAAGATTGTACGATAATCAAAGCAAAATAAACAGCAGTAGTAATAAAATTGAAGAATAAGATAATAGAGTAATAGAATAATAATGATAATAAATACTGTTAAGGAGAAGAGGGAGCATATAAGGTTAGAACCATGTTTTCCCACAGAAAAGAGAGAAATCGCTCGACTACTTACAATCATTTTCCCCTAATCCTCGACCTCTATGCTCTCCTATCTAGGCTCATGTCCTTGGTGAACTGAAGATGTGTCATGTCCTTTCTAATCATCTCTCCCCACTCCAGTTCTTTTTCGTACTACCTCTACCTCTCCTTAGACGTATCGATGTCAACCTTTCGCACCTCCTCATTGGGCATTTGTGTTCCTCCTCTTCACATGTCTGAATCATCGCAGACTTGTTTCCCTCATCTTGTCCATTATGGAGACCACTCCCACCTTGCACCGTATATTTTCGTTCCTAATCTTATCTCTCCTAGTATGCATACACATCTATCTAAGTATCCTCATTTTTGCTACTTTCATCTTCTAACTGTGTGAGTTCTTGACTGACTGACACTCTGCCCCATGCAACATAGTTGGTATAATATCCGCTCTAGAACTTACCTTTAAGTCTTGCCGGCACATTCTTATCACATAGGACACCAGATACGAGTCTCAATTTCATCCATCCTGGATTATTAACGCAAGACACTTGAAGCTCCCTCTCTTGGGGATGAATTGTGTATCAATCCTTACTTTCTCATCCGTCTCATGTGTTATGTCATTGAACTTGCACTACAAGTACTCTGTTTAGTCCTGCTCAACCTGAAACCTTTAGACACTAGGGTCTATCTCCAAACCAGTCTAGAATTAATTCCGCCGGGTGTCTCGTCAATCAATACTATGTCATCTGCAAATAACATACACCATGGTACCTCACCTTGAATATGTTGTGTCAATTCATCCATTACCATGACATATAAAAAACGGGCTAAGAGTTGATCCCTAATGCAACCCCATTAAGAGTGGGAAGTGTTCTTTTACTGTTCTTACTCGGGTCTTGGCTTCACTAAGTAGATTCAAAATATAAAGTAGTAAAACATTAAGAAACTAAAAAAAATTCAACATCTACTCAATTTTGAATCCCTTTTGTCCCCTAGCTTCACCCACGCACAGGTATACAAACAGCTCTCATATATTGGCTCGTCAGTTTGTCACCTTGTTTTTTCTTCAACCATAGTTAAGCTGGCTGGTTTCCTCTCTAGGAGAAGCAGCTGGTGGCACTGGATTCGGGAGTTGGGGAGATTGCGTAACTATAGATTGTTCTGCTTGGAATAGCGTGGAGATTATTATGACTATATATTTTCATGAAGCCAGTAGAGTTACAAAGGTTAGTTACTGCAATATAAACATGATTTTGATTTACAATTTAGATAGAAAGATAAAATTCCATAGAACGTTTGTGATACCAGCAATGTTATATAGAGATTAAGCTTCTAGGGCTTGACATATCCATGTTGCAGAGTTGGATAGTTAAGATTGATATGCAAACAATTCACTTCGAATATCAGTCAGTAATTATAACTCTGGAATATTGGTTTAGAAAATGAACAATGTAGATCCTAAAATAACATGGAGAATATTTGTTTCGAAGTCAGTGATTTCATAGAATCCATGTATATTGTTAGCAAAGAATATAGCACAGCAGAAGTACGATAGAATTAAAATTTTATCGTAATTGATACTCCATTTGATAAGCTTACATTAGGTACGGTACATGACAAGAGTAAAAGTTTGTGTGAAAACGTAGGAGATTCAGAATATCCATAGTTAGAGAAATCCTTAATTTGTCCTAAATACAAAACAAGCCCAAACCGAGCAAATTAAAATAGATATTAATTAATTAATTCCAACTAGTTAAATCAAAGCTGTTAAAATTGTTTGCCTAAAGAGCAGACTTGTGAGTTAGAAGTGGAACAACCGGTAGCTTTGCTTTAGCACAAGCTCTAACTCTAAAATTCTCAGGAAAAGCGCAAGTCAGATCAGCCACTATTACAGTTGCAGAAAAAACCCAAAAAACAAGATAACACCATCTCAAGAAGAGGAAACTTTATCCACTAAATTTAATATCAATAAGAAATAACAAAGGTACAAAATTTACATACACAGTTACACGACATTTTGATACGGAATTGAAGCATAGAACCCACAAGCACTTAAGCCATTTCATGGCAAAAATGCTCATATTATATTCCTCATGACGCGGAAAAGACCCAAGAAACATTAAATTGAAAGACCAAAACAAAAAATGAGTGAAAAACTAACACAGCTTAATTTGAACTAAATTATTAAAGAATAGGAAAACAAATCTAAGATTGGGAAAATTTTGCAAAATTGGAACTTGTATCTGGAAATGCAGGACAAATGAAATGGTGGTTACCATGAAACCACATACAACAGAACTTCCTTGTATCTCGAAATTCCCCTAAACTTCAGCCATTCAGGTCATTTCCCCAGGATTAGAAATCACTTTTGGCAGCTCGACTAGTCGAAAGAATTTTACAAGCAATAAACACTGAATTGTTACCGTCTTTAGTGGCAACAGTAGACACAGAAAGCTGGCATGTTAAGCTCGACTGAATCCAAAAGATTCATCATCCACTATTTGAACCATTATCTCCCATCCAAACCTGCTAAAAAGATTCAGATACCCCATGAGACAAATAAAGCTTCCAGAACAAGCCAGCTCTTTCAGAGGATCCTCCAACAAGAAATTGGAGGCAAGCCCTACTTAGTTAGCTGCTCCAACCACCCAAACATTTCTTGTTCTTTTATTCAGGAGAGGACCTTACTTTTACCAAGTAACATCATGTTTATTTATTTCGTTCTTCTGTTGTTTTCTATTTTATTGCATTCGAGATAAAATGTGATCTGATAACCATTAATTTTGGTTGTCACAACCAGAACATAGTCAACAAAACTATACACCCTAGGCTTCCTCTGCCCTTGAAGCAGATTAACAAGTAATAGAACTAAGCTCCCAGGTGTGACATGACAAGGCGACAAATAGAATACTTCCCTCTATGCATAGAGGGAGAAATTTTAAGGAGCCATAAAAAAATCAATGGCTAGATGAAGCCATCTGCAGCAAGAAGTCTATGCTTTAGCCTTTTGAACTAGAACATGTAATCCTAGAAGATGGTTTAATGAGTCCCTGACAAACCAGTGCATACCTTGCTGTGTGAAAACAGAAATTGGTCAACATTAACAAAAGCCAGTTTGACACAAGGAATATTTAGTTTACTATTAGAACTGCAAACTTAGCAAAATCTTACCTCATAATCTGGAGCCAGTTCTTAAACTACTGGGTATTTGTTCCAGTTTCATCTTATCAATTTGCTATCCTAATGCCTCATATTATCGTGGAAGTGGAAAAGTAAATCAAGTTTCATACTTTCATATTCTTTTATGACGAAATTTCTATAGTTTAACACAATTTCTCAGAAACTTCCTCTCTGCTAGTTTCTGTTGTTTAAAGATAAAGTTCTCCATGACATGCTCTACTCTATTATGATTTGTTAAGTACATTCCACTTCACTTCAGCAAACAAAGATTATTCTGTGTGATATTGATTCAACTCGCACTTTTCTTAGTTCAGAATAACACAGTAACTATATCCTGTTTTATATATATAAAAGAAATCCTACCTGTATATAGGGAACCATTCCCATTCACAGATAGTGGTACAGGCCTCCTCTCTTGACCCAAAGACAAAATCTCCTGCATTCTTTCTGGCCAAACAGAGTTCAGTCTCCTAGCAAAATCCTCAACCTCCCTGTGATAGAGAAATTCAAAATCAAGTATCTACAGTACATGACATATCTAATCGTATGACAAGTTAAGAGGTGCTTGCCCTAAAAAAGCCACAGCAGCCCATGCTGGCATGAAGGGTTTGATTGCCACTGGGGGAGGGGGAAATAACTGGATGGTCCCTGTGTGATGAATCAATATATAAAACTATGTTCAATTTTCCCTGCATCTGTGATGACGTGAAAAACATTTTCTTCTTATATTTGTATGTACATTTGTTCTCTCTTTTTTTCCTTGATAAGAGAGTAGATTTTTTTTTTTTGTCATCCCTTATTTCAGTCTATGAAATAAGATATATTGGTAGAAATGATTTTACTTGAAACTTTTTTTTTTTTTGTTAAAATGTAAGGTAAGATGAGCTCCCAGAAATAGAAACAATACCCTCTGCGGTTACAGAATTCATATGGAACTTCTACTTCTTGCACAAATTAAAAGTAGCAATCATCATTAAATATTTGGAGATTCTATCAACACAAGATCCAACGAGGATAAAATGACAATTCTATATTGATTCAAATTTATCCATTAACTCCAATCTGTAATCAGATTCCAGCTAGAAACATGCTAGCACTATAATGTCTTTTCCATTGCTATCTGCTGATTATAGCTGTAGGGTTACTCTGTTTAAACTTTATAAGAGCTAAATACAACACTAAAATGCTAAATCCAACTTTGCACAAAGTCTAGAAAAGAAGAAAAAGGGTATGAAGCTTAGGTAAGAAATGAATGTCAGATGAGGAAAAAGACTAAGTAATAAAAATAGGTAAGAAGTTTCTGTCTATTTCACTTTTTCTCAGGTTTTTTTTTTTCAAATGAAGACTAGCCAAAAAATCGATTTTGCTTCTGGAGGTACTAGATTCAAAGTTACGATCCAGAATTTTGACAAGGGAAGCTATATCGCAAGCTAAAACTCTCAAATATGCATGGATATGCATTAACAATTAATGAATGATTAAAGTATGGTTCTTAACACTTGCATGCAGGCTCCTAGGGCTTCAGTCTAGTGGCAAGAGTGCAATGCATGATGTGTGGGTTAGGCACACATCGCGGCTTCAAATCCTGCCGCAAACAAATGCCGCAGGCAAAAGACTGTTAGTTAAGCAGAGAAGAGTAGAGGGGCGGGCCCATCATACATCGAGCTTTGAACCGTGCACCACCGGTCTCGGGGATTTCTCGGTTATCAAGGACAAAAAAAGGGTAGCCCGGTGCACTAAGCTCCCCCTATGCGCGGGGTCCGGGAAAGGGTCGGACCACACTTGCATGCAGTCTCGGCAGAAGCCAATGCAACGAGGTTCCCCTTGAATAGCACGATCCTGGAGAACAGGAGGAGGAAAAGAAAAGAACTGCTTTTCAGGAGTAAAAAGATTGTATCAACACACAGGGTAACTAATTACCCAAAAAAGAAAGCCTTTCACCAAGGAAATAATAGTAGCTCAATACAACCACTCCGAAAGAACTTTTTATGACGGTGGTATCTGTGCCAGCTTGGGCACACCTCGTTATTTCACCGGATACATACTACCTCCCACAAGCACAAGTACCGTGTAACTCTACCCACCTAGGCTTAGCAGATGGGAAGAAATAACCTAATGTTTTGTCTCGGTTGGGATTTGAACCTTGGAATCCAAAGTTTTCACCCACTTCGTTGACCACCAGGCCACAACCTTGGGTGCCTCTCACGAAGAACACAATCCATTCAATAAGTTGTAAGTAACTACAATCACCTCATATAGTCTTTTACACATATCCAACTACAGAGACAATAATATAACTTGATCAGTGGAAGACAACAACCTAAGTAGATAATCAAACCTGTCAATTTCTTCCTTCATTACAGGATCTAATTCATCGTCAATATCGCCTTCATCAAATGCAGGGTCTTGCAGATCAGAAGGTTTACTTGGAGAAGGAACACCACCATTCAGGCAGCTAGATGCAGGAAAGCTAGATTCCTGCATACCAACAGCACCAGTCAAGCCAACAAATGTCAAAGTGAAAAAAGCAAAGACACTTAGAAGCAACTCTGTGTGCCCCCCCCCCCCCCCCAAACAAGACAAAATGAAAACGAAAAAACAAAGAAGAGAAAATCCCATAGCTCAACAGGGTGCTAACCTGATTATGGTTACCAGTTTCATTATTTGTTGAGGAATTCTTAGCTTGTTCTTTTCTCCTCCTATTTTTCTTTTTACTCTTTGTTGTTCTTACACCCTTAGAATCTGCAAAATAGACCACCAAACTCAAAATTGTAAGTATGATAATCAAACTCAAAGAATAACCCAAAAGAGGCTATAAAAGTTACACTATACCATCAGAAGGTTGAGTCACCATAGAAATTATGGATCTGATTATAGAGCAGCAAATAATACGCAAAAAATATAACTTAATAAGACTGATCGATAGTCATGGTAGATTCCACATTATTTTCTTAACCTTTCCAGAATAAGCATCACAAACCACAATATAAAACCTGAGACATAATGATCTGAAGATAAGAGTTATATATATGTATATGTTTTATACACACACACATATAATGGGGTCAGGTCAGGCAGCAAGAATGCAACTTCACCAAAACATAATTCTGGGTAATATGCAGATAATAGGCATGCAAAACAGTTCAATTATTTTAGTAATGCAACATGCAGAAAGCAGAGCAACCCTACAGTGAAAATATAGGGTGTTAACTAAGTCTTAATCTTACCTTCATCTTCCCCATTTATGAACGAAAGAAGATCATCAACTGATCGGTCATCCACATGCTGCTCTTCTTCTACCTCAACATTCTGGAAATACATAAAGAGGAAAGGAAATAAAGCAAAATCAGAGTGCATACACAAAAATTCATCAAGTAGCATCAATCAACCACGGCCAAGATACAAGCACAAGAGCCAGATCTTAAAGTACCTTTAATTTCTCTCTTTCTTTTAATTCTTTCCTTTTCCTTGCATAAAGTCGATTGAGAAGGCGTATGCGTGGATCATCGGTCATATTTCTCAAAGGTTCCAACTTCTCCTCCTAATGATAAACCATTTCCAAGTGAGAAACACCAACAATATGGAGAGAGAGGGCTACAAATATTTTCTGTCAGAATAAGGACCTCTGTTAGATCATCAGGTAAATGAAAAGTTTCACGTATTTCCTCGGGAGTTTTGCCTTCAATCATCCGAGCAAGTGCACGACTTGTAAGGTCAACCAGAGGCCTCAGTTGAAGGCTGTCAGCAGCAGATGTCAGCTCACATAACTTCTTGGTGTCTAACCGGATGAACTTTTCATCAAAAGTCTTGCGCTCCTACATAAAAGACATCCATTACACTCAAATTTTAAAAATTAAAAAAATTAAAAAATGTCACATAAACCATGCACATGACACAGGCAAACCGAAAATCCTTCACTTTCTGGGAGGCACTGCACTGTTGCAACAAGGAAACAGAGAACCGACCTTATTAGAACGGCCAGGAACTTGATGAAACCGACAATAATCCAGTATTAAGCCCAGAATAGCTGTATTGACTCGTTGAGGAAGTGATATTGCACAATTTTTCGAGGATCCTGTGCCAGTTTGAAGTACTTCTCTGCATATCATTGGGCAAAACATGGCAACCTCTTCCTCTACTTGTTGGATCGATCCATCAGCAGTTTGGAGCCAAATGTAGGACTTCATCTTAACCAATGAACCACAAAGTAATTACAAAAGCGGATAATGCAAAATAGCGACAGCTTTGAATAGTGTAATATAGAAAGCAACAGAAATGCAATAAGGATCTACTGCCCACACCTTGGACTTTAAAAAAAGGTTAAAACATATTATATTCCCATAAAAAAAGGATTTTAGCCATTCCACAGTCGTTCAACGTACATTCAATACTCAAAGAAATAGCAGTGTTTTTCAATGAGAAAATGGATGATCCACCTACGCATTTCATGCAAGCAAACAAGAACGGTCAGACCCTAACAAAAAGAAGAAAAAAAAGCTTCAAGGAAATAGGCTGATTACATACCTCTGGTTTGACGACCGCCATACGGCCTTCTAACATGAGGAGATCGAACTGGCAAGATTATTTATGGGCCTTTGCAATAAGCAACCTTAAAAGTGCTGATGAAATGGAAATAGGCTAAGCTTTCTTCTCTTCAAAAGAAAGTTGTCAGACACAGACCGCAAACCCTTCACAAAGTAACCCTCTCCAAATTCCAACAAGACAAAATGCATCTTCAACAGGATGATTTCATCAGTTTGGAAGCTCTGTACAAAGATGAGAACAGCAAGTTGACCAAGATTACATACTTTAGCAATCAATGAAGTTTTCCCAACATGAACATACATGACATAAGTACACACACACCCAACAGATTAATAAGAACTCAGAAGGAAAGCAGCAGTTGAACAAGAGTGACAAAAAATAATGGAAAATCACTTTGATCACTCTTTTGTGTATCTTCAAAACATTCAAATAATGAAGAGAATTAGGGATATGAAATTTAGAACATAGATGACTTCTTTCATATGGAAACTTACTCAGCTCGTTAGAAGCTAATTATACCAGGAATTTCTTTAAACGTTCCACATGCACATATAATATGTTAGCCCATTTCAGTTTCTTCACATCCCCTCCTCTCAGAGTTTAAAAACAAAGCCGTCGACTATCAATTGCTTCTCATTCTGTCCTCCTAATACAACCACAAGGAAATTCCAGATACTTTGCACGTTTTCCCATTGCCCAATCCACCTATGTGCCATTGGAGCATAGATAACCGAAAGGAATTTTGGGACACTTGAATACGCAAAGCTCGCACACATTCTCACATCAGTGTGATCTCTGAGTATATTCATGCCATGAATTTGACCATGCCATATCTCATAACCCAGAAGAAACCTTAATCATATGTTAAGTTCTTTTATACAGTAAGGGACTTCACAAAGAAGTATTCCAGCAGCTAGCAAGGGCCATTTTCAGATGAAGGGTAAAAACATTTGTTTTTTCTGTAATGCATGTTCTTTAGGGTGTCTAGGGGTCGTGGGAAGCATGCAAGTATGTTTTTTGTTTTTTATTTTGATGTCTAGTAGTAGTAGTTGTTGTTGTTTTTTATATTGATTGACAACGATGGTGTCATCTTGTGCATACCTCGACGATTCCAACAGGGGGCATGCAAATGTACGCGCACGCGTGTGTGTATATATAAACATATGTATATGTTTGGAGCGGTGATGTCGTTTTTCATGCACGAATAGAACGATCTAAAGGGGTTGTGCAACCTAGAGAGATGGCCATATCTTTTTGATGAATGTGGTATCGAGGTTCGGCTTCTTTGGAGAAGAGGTCAATCTTAGGGGAGACCATTCGAATGGTTGAATTGATGACTTCGCTTCGATCTCTTCGATTGAACCTAAAGGAAACTTCAATCATTCAACTTTAGCTTCTAGAGGAGGAATCATGTCACTTGGAATTTCGGAAAGTGAATCCTCTCTTTCCGATCCTGGCCTTGGTAAAACTTGTCTTTGATTGGGATTTCAATTGAAAAGATGTTAGGCCGCTTCCTCATGTGCCTAAGAAGCAGAGACAATCTAGATTGAAATATATATGTATGTATGTTTGACAAGCGGCAATAAGTTGTCTTAGGCAACAAGTTATAACGAGTGAAACTGCTAGACCAAATACAGAAGCCTCTGAAAGACTTCAAATGGGATCAATTGCATAGTTATCAAAGAGAGAAGGGACAGGAAGAGACTTTAAAAGGGTTTTGTAACTTCCGGTTTTCTTCTTTTTATTTGTATTTTCTAGAATAAAAGATACACATACTTGTTCATACCAATGCAAAGAGGATCAAACTAAAGGAACAAAATTGAAGTTTCAAGGGAGTAAACAACTAAACCAACTGGGACTTTCTTTTTTTTGCTTTTCCAAAAAAAAAAAAAGAAAAATTAAACCAACTAGGACTATTAGATAACTAATAATTGAGCATCTGAAGTGGATGAATTCTCCTGCCATCATATCCTTCGGCAGCTAATGGATGAATAGGATTCACATTCTATTCAAGAATTTCCTTTGACATTCTACATATCTCGTAATCGTACACAAACTACATAAAGGCCAATACTAAAACCTCAATCATGTATTCGAGAATTCAAATGCTGGCAACATCATCCACCTAGCAGTCATTTCTAAATCCTATCGGGTAAGACCAATCAACCAATAAATTCCCAACCCAATTACCACCCCTTACATCTGCCCTGTAACAGACCACTAACAACTACTAAAACCCATCAATGGCAAACTAGTTGAGGTCGGCTATATGAATCCTCAATATCCTTCCCATATGCCTAAGCCTTGGTGGGTAGAGTTAGCAGTACCTATACTTGTGCGAGGTAGCAGATACCCTGTGGAATAGTCGGGTGCACTCAAGCTGGCCTGGATACTACCATCATTAATCAATCTCTCTTTAGCTCCATTGGACCCGGTTCTTTCCAGAATAAGCGGGAAATATTAAGATGATAATAAAGTATCCCTAGAAAATAAAGCACGAAATAGAAATGGGTTGTAACCTTCAAATTAGTCCCAAGGAATGAGCCATCTTTAACCATAAAGGTAACCAATTAAGGGAAATGGGTAGTCATTTAATTAACAAATTACAATTGGAAAAAAAAAAAACAATAAGAATCCAAGATTTGAGCTTATAACAAGTGCTTATCAGCTAATAACTTGGGAAATTGAGCCATAAAACGAAATTAGTAAATTAACAGATGCGCATACCTGACATAATATAATTGCGTCACAGAATGAAGCTGGTAAATACAGAGCAAATAAAAACAAGAGATAAGAAAAATGATGAAAAAAAAGGAGGGAGAGCTAGGGTTTTGCAGGTAGCAAGAAGAAAAGGGGGAAGAAAGGAAAATTTTCTTGCGTTTATCAGGCTTCCGTTATTTCCGAAATGGAAACTAAGGGATTGTGTAATTCTATATTTCTATTTCTGCTTTTTTTTTTCCTTCTGGTAATTGTGTTCTTACCCAATTCTCACGTGGATAGGGGTTAGAGCTCTTTGGCTATGGTGGCTGGGTAATTGTATTACCTAATGTTTCGAGTCAGCAATTCAATTATTTTATAGTGTAGAGGTCATGGACGCACTGATACACCATATCCAAGGAGAGCTGTCATGGTGTATGTTGTTCGCTCATAATATAGTTCTGATTGATGAGACGCGAGGTGGCGTTAATGAAAGACTGGAGGTACGGAGGCAGGCCCCGGAGTCTAAAGGTTTCAATGTCGTTTTGAGTCCTAGCGCTCCGTTCAGCCGTTAGAGGCCATGAACAGCTTCATTTTTAGTATTTTGACTTGTACGCGTGGTCGGAATTAAGTTTCAGGAAGTTCAAAGTTAATTTAGAAAGAGAATTCTCATTTCAGAAACTTAAAGTTGAAAGAATGAACTAGGATTGGATTTTGAGTAAACGACCTCGGAATCAGGATCCGAAGGTTCCAGCAGGTTCGTATGATGATTTCAGACTTGGGCGTATGCCCGGTTCGGGTTTTGGATAACCCGGAAGTGTTTTGGCGCCTATTGTGGAAGTTAGTATTTTAGAAGAAATTTCATAAGTTTGGCTTGAAGCGCATTTCAGTGTTATCGATGTCCGTTTGGGATTCCGAGACTGTGAATAGCTCCGTATGGTGATTCTGGAGTTGGGAGCGCGATCGGAAGTGAATTCGAAGGTCCGTAGGTCATTTTGGAGCCATTTGGCTAAAGATAGAAATTTGAAGGCTTTTGAGAAGTTTGACCGGAGGTTGACTTTTTGATATCGGGGTCGGAATCCGATTTCGGAAGTTGCAGTAGGTCCGTAGTGTCAAATATGACTTGCGTGCAAAATTTGAGGTCAACCGGACGTGATTTGACAGGTTTAAGCATCGAAAGTAGAAGTTGGAAGTTCTAAAGTTCATAAAGCTTGGATTGGCGGTTGATTCATGATTTTAGCGTTGTTTGATGTGATTTGAGGCCTCGAGCAAGTCCGTAATGTGTTTTGGGATTGGGTGGTATGATTGGTCGGGGTCGCGGGGGCCTCGGGTGGATTCCGGGTGGTTAACGGATCAAAAATAGAATTTGGGAAGGCTTGAGATTTGCTGCTTCTGTCATAACCGCATATGCGGTTCTTGGACCGCAGAAGCGGGACCGCAGATGCGGTCAAAAGCTCGCAGAAGCGGAAGGGGGCCAGGTCCAAGGAAACCGCAGAAGCGGTTCCGCTTAAGCGGCCCCCAGACCGCAGAAGCGGTTAGCTTCCTTTTGCCCAAAGCCGCAGAAGCGGTGAGAAGTCGCAGAAGCGGAACTTTTCCGCAGAAGCGGAAGCAGCTGGGGCAGTGAGATGTTTTAAGTTCGGGGTTGAGTTCATTTCAACCCCATTTTCCTTCCATTGGAGTCGATGGGGAGCAGCTTGGAGATGCCATTTTCGTCACTTGTCATGAGGTAAGTAATTTATGCTAGCTTTGAGTTAAATACAAGGTTTATACATGGATTTAGGCAAGGAAATTATGGGAATTTGGGGTTTTGGTGGAAAACCTAGGAATTTACATTTCTTCGAATTTGACCACGATTTTGAGTATGGAATTAGGAGAAAATCACATATTTGAGTTCCTAAGGTCATGGGTAACCTTTTTCTTCGAGAAATTTCGGAATCCGGGCACGTAGGCCCGAGGGTATTTTTGTCATTTCACTAAGCGGAGTTGGGAATCTGTATAATTTGAATTTCTAACAAGTAATTGAGAGTATTCTCATTAGTTTGTCGTTAATTGGCTAGTTTTGGAGCAATGTGCGTTGGTTCAAGCCTTCGGAAGAATGTAGAATGCCGGTTATGAGTCTGAGGTGAGTCTCCTTTCTAATCTTGTGAGGGGGAATTTACCCCATAGGTGAGTTAAATTGGTTATGTGCTCCTATTTGCGGGGGCTACGTACGCACGAGGTGACGAGAGTCCGTGCGTTGCTACTATTTGCTATTGTCCGGGTAGCTAGGACCCAAAAGCATGAATACTTGAATTAATTGTAAATTCTTGGATAGCTCAAATTGCTTGTGTCACATGGAATTTGTAAATGAATTTCCAAAGAGATTTAACCTTACTTGTAAAATTTTGTTAAAAGAGGAATTTATATATATATCGATAAACACTCCCTGATAAGTTCTTACTTGGTTGATTGAGCATGTTATATTTGGATTAATTGTGAACCCTTTGAGGGTTTGGATTGCTTAAATCACATTAAATTTATAAATGGATTTCTAAAAAGACTTAAGCTTCGCTTCCTCGGAGTATTTAAAGAAAGTTGGCCTTTCTTGGATAATTGCTCCATGTTGACTTATTGACTGAGTGTCTATCTGTGTGTGTTTATTTTGGAACGGGCCGAACGCCTCGGCAGATTAATAGATGCATCTATAGGCGCGCCGTTGACCCTCGGCAAGTGCACATTTACTTTCTGTTGGATCGGGCCGTCGCCTCGGTATGATTTTCGCATGATATCTTTTATATATTGATGCATGAGGAATCTTAAATGATGACATTGCCTTTCATGGCTTGAGATGAACTCATTAAATGAAGAAAATTAAAATCTTGAAAATCCTTTGCTAACTGTTAAAAGGTGTTTACCTGTTTTACAGCTTTGTGAATTAGAATATGTTATATGAATCCATGATTTCCCCATACATTTAATATATTATTATTGGACCGCTAGTGAGTGTCCAGGTTGACCATCTCGTCTCTACCTCTTCCAGGTTAGGCGGGATACTCACTGAGTACACGTTGATTACGTACTCATACTACACTTCTGTGCATTTTTATTGCACAGGTATATGTTACTTGAGGTAGCAGCACGGATGATTCGGGGACTTGGTGAGCCGCATTGTTCGAGACGACCCGCAGCTAGAGTAGTCCCCTTCCAGTACTTTATTTATTGAATCTCTGTCCACTATATTTCGGACAGACATTTGTATTTCATTTTCCTTATCAGTAGTTGCTCATGTACTTGTGACACCGGGTTCTGGGATGGTTTTCTTTGAAGATGTGTATTAATAGTTAATTTCTTCATTTGAATTGAAACAGAGATTGTTTTATATATGAAAAATGGAAGTAAAACTCCTAGGTTTTCAAAGTTATAAAAAGAGAATTTAATTGGTGATTTAGTTGGCTTGCCTGACAGCGGTGTCCGGCACCATCACGACCCGTAGTGGATCTGGGTCGTGACAACATGGTATCAGAGCTCTAGGTTCCCGTCGGTCTCACGAGTCTTGAGCAAGTCTAGTAGAGTCTCGCGGATCAGTACGGAGACGTCTGTACTTATCCTCGGGAGGCTGCAGGACTGTTAGGAGTACTTCCCTTCTTGATTTCCTTATCGTGCGGTTCAATTCCTTTGAGGCTTATGCCTTGATTCCTTTCCACTCAATCTTACGCGAGCGCTTGTTATAAATCGAAAATGGAAGGATTGCAATGGCACTGCAGATGTGATACGGGATGTTTCTCCCGGTATAGCTGATCAGATTATTGTCGTCGCCTTATAGAAGAATATTTTATTGTTTCAGCCCAATAGCGGTATTTTCGAGGGTTTGAGGCGAGGCACAAGTTGTCGCATTGCTTATGAATGACTATTCTGCAGTAGTAATATGATGGTAGGGTATAGCCCACGTGTCGGGGCAGTGAATGGCTTGAAGGGAGGTTTACTCAGTGTGTAATCAAGGGAGTCAGTATTTTATTCCCGGTAAGGGGAAAGCCAATCGAGCTAAGGATGGTCAGACGTGATTTAGTGGAAGTAATGAAACGTGGTAATGGCAAGCGTGAAGGAGTTCTCTTCTTTATTGGGGTGCTGTTGTCCTAATTGGACATATTAAGTTTGTTGATGTTATTATTTGCTACAATTCACCGTATGGCGGGATATTGTGAATACTATTGAAGATGCAACCGTCATATATCGCGGGATGCGGTGGTTTAGGATTTAATCAGTGTTTCAAATGTTGACGGTTCGATAAAGATGACCTTCAGATGGGGTTTTAGTCAGTAGCGATTTGTGAATTCAGGTGCTATGAAGATTAATTTTATTAAGACAACGACTGAGCAACAAAAGATGAGGAGGACATATGAGAAGTGTCAGGCAGAGTTTTAAAACTTCTAAAAGGTCAGGCTTAGGGAGCGCAGGCCGAATAGTTGGTTAAAGGAGTGAGATTGCCCAAAGTGGGAGAATGGCGGGGCTGTATAGGGCCTAGTAGTAGGATGACTACGCACCTAAGGATAGTTTGGAAGGATCTGGGATTTTAGCGACAGGCAATGGAAGTCGGTNCTCAAACCTGCAATCAAGCACAACCTGTGAGCATTTTGGGATTATTTTGTATCAAATTATACTCAAAGCATAGGCAAGTAGGGGCATAAAACACGTTAAAATCCTACTTATCAACTACCCCAAACTTAAACCTTTGCTTGTCCTCAAGCAAACAAAATAAGACCCACCCCTTAAAGCAACATCCAAGTAATTCCAGCTATCCTAATGTAACCTCAACAAGCATCAATTGGGACTAACAATTTCCCTCAATACGAATGCAACATTAACACATTTTAAACTTTGAAAACTATGGTTCAAGTGTGATACAAGTGCATCAAGAGTTGACACATTTCATCAAAGAACTTTTCTCAAATACCTTGGTCATTGTGGAACCCAAACTCACACATCCTCAACTCTCCCTAAGCGAACCTCACCTTTTAGAGTATTGACACACAAACCGAGGTTGATGGACTTTCACTCATCTCTCTCAAGAAGGCCACAAGTCCGGCTCTAGGTACCATATGCTTGCCCCTTATGTAAGTATCCACTAATGTAGGCTCCCTTCAACTCGAGATCATATAGGGCTTTTGCGGAGTCATTGTGAAGGCTTTTGGGTAAGGGTAGGACATGTTTTTGTTCAAATGGGTTCAATCTTCCCTTAAGCACTTCTTTTGATTCATTTTGGCACACTTTCTTGACTCATTTGAGTATTTCACTTCTTTTCAAGGGGTTAGAGGGACACATTGTCACTCTTTCTTATGCAATTCAAATCATTTCTCCTTTTTCTACTTTT